TGGTTAATGCCGCCCGAGAGGGCAGGCCGTTGATCCCTATAGACAAGGCGCCTCCCAGACTTTACCATCGAACGACCCATGATGCGGCGTTCGCGATTCTGGAAGATCGTTTGTTGCCTGGCTTTGGAGGTTCTGAGAAAGCGCATTGTTACTTTGCGCCGCTGCCGCTCGAAGAACAGAAGGTACGCTCAGGACTTCGTGCAAGTGCACCAATTGAGATCGTCTTCGACACCCGGGAGGTCCTCGAGGCTGGCTGCGACTTGTTTCTCACCGAGTCCGATGGCATGCTATGCTCCGAGGCGGTACCTGGTTCGACCATTTTGTTCATCAACGACACGCAACGAGACGTCACCCTTTGGTCTCGCACGGGAGGCGTTATCCCCCCTGATGAGGCGGAACAAGGTGAAAGCCCAGCTAACGCTGAGGCCGACGTCGCTGCTATTCTTGATGAGCCCGAGGTCGAGGAGACGATTCAGGACAATTTCGCACCGCCTATTGATGAAGAATTTGGTACCATTCCAGCTGAGGACACAACCTTGCCGCCTATTCCTGATGTCGCTGAGGTACTTGGAGGTTCATTGGCAATCACAGATGCCCCTGCAGAAGCTGATGATGCGGAAGACCCTGGTGATGAGCAAATGCCCCCCGTAGAGGAGAGGCCGCTTGTTGAGCCAGGAACCATCATTGCTCAGCCGGGCCCGCCAATTCGAACCATGTACATTGGTGATGGAATTGCGACAAAGGTTACACTGAACGCTGAGGGTGTACCTGTTGAAGCAGTCCAGGAGCCGGTGGGAAGGCCAGAACCAACGCTTTATGCTGGAAGTGAGGCCAAGCCAACCGCCGCGTTCTTGGAAAAGATCAAATGCTGCCACTGCAGTGCCGAGTGTCTTCAAGGTCAAAGGATCTGCTCCCAGTGTGGAGGGCCAGTCCGACCAGGCCAACTGAAAGCACAAGGCAGAAGGACGCTGTTGGCACGTGGGCGTGAGGCTCTGCTCCAAGAGATGGGCGATGCTGCAGAGCGAGTGGGAGTGAAGCCGGACCTTCAAAGCGCATCGAAAGATGTCGCCGGTCGTGGCATGAACTCTCTAGAAGGCGAGGTTATTCGGAAAGCCAAGGTCGCAAAGCAAAGAGCCGTGAAGAAGGGCTTTACCGACTGCGTAGCAAGGTTCAATCAGGACAATGAATACGCAATCTCTATGGCAAAAGAGGGATACACACGCAGAACCATTCGTGCCCTCGACTGCCTCTGCTATGCCTACTTGCCGAACCCTGGCCGCTCTCGATCACAGCGTCTGCTGGCTATTGGATCCTCCAGAACGGCAAGGACTACGCACGAGACCCGCGCGGACGCGATCCCCGAGTGCCGTATCGTTTTCTTTACTGGAGACGATGGCATTGGTGGAAAATTGTGCGCAGCGGGACTAACGTCCACGCCGCAGAATACACCAGTAGCTTTCACGTGGTACGGAGCCATTCTTTCCTTTCAGGATTTTGCCTTCAACGTCGCCAAGCAGAAAGAAGGAATTCGCCTACAGACTTTTGGTCACGGCAAGGTGGACCTTCTCAACAATGATCCTGGCGCAGTGGGAACGGATCTACAGACCATTTTGGCCAAGGATCTTCACTACATGGTGGAGACAGTTGAGGAGACCATCAAGAAGGCCGAACAGAGCCGCGCTGCCCAGCCGAAGTATGCCCAGCAGCATCCGCCAGGTGGTGGCAAGGGCTCAACTTATGCCCGTGCATCGGAAGCAAAGGGTAAAGGCAAAAGCCCGGCTAACGCCGAGGCCGCCAACCGCACAACCCCCGACTGGGACTGGGATGATCAATCCTGGTGGCAGAGTTGGTCGTCGTCATCCTGGGGGTCATGGCGCGGTCAGAACTGGGACAACCAGGACTGGCGTGAGTGGCGCAATCGTGGATGGCGTTGGTACTATAATATGCCGACCCAGCAGTCCGATTCTTTCGAGCAAGAGGGATGTTCACCCGGCCTGTGATATTTTTCAAGTGGCTGCGCGGAGAACTCCTATCGCCCTTGCTCCACGCTGAAACCAGCGTCTTGCATTTGAAGAAAAGCTTGCATGCAGTTTTCGCACCCTTCCTCGAGGCACACGGTAGTCACATGTACTTTTGCTGAAACAATCTGATGACGCGGGAGGCAACTCCACGCCGATCGTCATACTCCGAGCCGAAGCGCTCTTCCACCTGCAGGCGAAGGTATGCTGTATTTTTTTTGAATGCAGTGACCGTGCCCTTAGCTGAGGGGGGTGTAGTTTTGCATCGCAGCTTGCGTAGGAGTTTGTATGGTCGTGTACAGTCATCATGTTGTGTATCATATACCGTCGACTACCTCTCAAGCCCTCTGAGTAAAGGATTAGTGCAATCGCTCATGGCTTAACGGTTTTGGTGTATTCTATATTAGGGTTTAGGGGTTTAGGGATTAGGGTTTAGGGGTTTAGGGTTTAGGGTTTTCGGGTTTAGGGTTTTCGGGTTTAGGGTTGAGGGTTTAGGGTTTATGGTTTTTGGGTTCCGAAAGCAGGGTTTAGGGGTTTAGTTTTCTGTTGGTGGGGACGGTTTAGGGTTTAGGGGTAATCAGCAAGTAGGTTTACAAGTATGTATAAAGATATAGCTACTTACAGCCCCAAGTGCCGTACCTATAGCCCCACCTACAGAGTCTCATAAACTTCTACGTACTCAAACGAGGATTCTCGTCAGTGTATGTAAGGCTCTAGGAAAAATTCGCGAGTCTTCACTAAATTCAAGACGCCCGATGCTTCAAGCTCTAAACCATACTTGGGTTTCCTGCGCCACTCGGCTGAAGCCTCAACCCCCTTTTTACTTACCCGAAGCTCTGACTAAGGAGGTTTAGGATTTGCCTGAACTCTCAACTCAGACACACCTAACAGCCCTAAATCCGCGAGGCTCCTAAGTCCTGAGACCGTGAATCAAGAGCCTGAACCTTGGGTCCGGCCCCCACTCAGTCATAGTTGAAGAATATTCATCATATAGATATAACAGGACCTTAATAGTAGTTCTATTTTAGACTATTACTATATTACTGTATGGGGGCAGTACTCAGCCGAGACCCTAAACCAAAAACCCCAAAGTCTTCAGGAAGTCCTCAAGCCTTACATAAGGGTTTAGGGTTTAGGGACTTAAGCGAAGCAACCCGGAAAGCCTGAACTCCACCCCCTCGAAGCATCGATGTGCGAAGGCATATGTTTAGGCTTATGTGCTTCCACGTGATCGCAGGACCGCAGAACCGGAGTCCGAGAGAGCACTGCCAGCGCAGTGAGTTCCCCAGTGCTTTGTGAAGAAGATGAGAGACTCAATACTCGTTAGTGTTTGGGGTAGAGGGTTTGTGGTTTAGGGTTTCGGGTTTCTGGCGTCGTTGCAGTGTTGTTGTTGGTTCTGTCTGGCTGGTTGTGGGTCATGTGGGGCATGCGTTTGAGGATTTCACGATCACCGAAGAGTGCCAGGGGGGTTGCAAGTGGCCAACAACAGGGCTTTGCAGTTTCAGAGCTGCAAATCAAGATGTGACCGCTAAATTTCGCAGTCCGAAGAAGCAACCCGAGCCAGAATTTGTGGGGGTCTGGGGTCCCAGGCCATTCTGATCCTTTGCTCTGAGCCCCCCCCCCAACCCTGATTTCCAAACTCTAAACTCTAAACTTACAAGCCCTAAAAAGCCCTCCACAAAAACTACAAATCCCTAATCCCTAAACGCCTAAACCCCGGAAACCATACAAGCAGAAAGCCTGAACCCGACAGCCTCTCCCGCAATTGGATCCTAAACCCTAAACCCTAAGCCCTAAACCCTAAGCCTTAACCCCCTAACCCCTAACCCCTAAACCCTAAATAAAGTCTAAACCCTAAACCCTAAACTAAACCCTAAACCCTAAAACCTACAGAACCCTTTTTTTGGAACCCACCCTTCGCATTTTTTGGCTGAAGGAGCTACCCCTGCCTCCACAGCGCTCCCCGTCTGCATTCAGGGCATTTTGTGCTAGGGTTTAGGGGTGTAGGGTTTAGGGTGTAGGGATTAGTCTAAAAGTGCCTTGCGCACGCTTCTTGGATCCAAATCTTACATCGGGCTTGCCGCTCCCGGTCCAAAGCTGGTTGCTTACGGCAGTGTAGCTGGCGAGCATTGACTACATGTTCGGGCACGTGTGACAGTTCTAAATGTACGATCTATTGTCAGTCAGTAGATTGAAAAGCCCTAGTCATGCATGGCTTCGGCGGTTGTCCGACAGTGGCTGACCTAGCTGGCATCCGCAGACAGTGCCTTCGTCGAAAATAGGTGTCCGATTGATACCCCTGTTCAGTCGTGATCATCAGTTATTGTCCATGAGGTGTAGCATGGCATGAACTTACAGTGGCCCATGACATGACAAGGTGAATGAATCGCTCACTTCCCATGCAGCATGAACTGATCAATATTTTTGGTGGGATGGCAGAAGTTTCACGTGGCTTCAATGTTGAGAGCTTGGGCAAGACTTTCTGTCTTTTGTTCGCACTTCTGCTGACATGCCTTTCAATTTTCAAGTTGCGACCGCTCCGGTGTGCAAGGCACTTTTGGAATTCTACGTTGCGAAGACCCAGCACGAGCAATTGCACGTCGGCGCAGCTGCAAGAGATTTGCAGTGAAGAACACAAACAACAAACATGGACTCAGTATGCTGTTCGCATCAGTATGACTCAGAGCTGGATGCAGCTTTGCCCGTGGAATTTTTGAACTCCAGGACCAGTTGGTCATGCACGGTGAGATGAAGCAGCTCGAGTCTAAGATTGCTCAGTTCATCCGACTCTTGGTCAGCAAAACTGTTCAGAGACTCGTGTCTTTCTGTGCCAATTGCAGAACCCACCACCTCGGCATTCAGATGTTATGAATGTGACTATGACTGGGTTTGCTTGCCGTCAAGACAATCAGCAAGGTGATTGCAATTCTTTGGTTGATGTTGCTGTTGCTATGAACAAGATTGCCCCAGCTGCCCCAGCAGGTATGTTGGGATCAGCGAGAGATTCGCCGGCCAGCTCAACAGCAAGAAGCAACTTGGCAAAGAATGAATGGCCTGGACAAGCTGATCTCCTACACCGGAGATTTTCTCCTGCTCCCTGATGTTCCGGAGTCAAAGATCCAAATTCGGAGCAACTCCATCACCATACGGCAGTGGCGTGCAGCCACCGCAGCAGCGGACTGTGCAGTTTTTGCTGCGTCCTTGTTAAAGTCTCTTGACCGCATTTGGGCATGCGGTGCATTGGTTGCACAAACACGCGCGCGGGAAGCATGACTGCTTGGTCTCGGTGTCCCCGCGCTCCCGTGGCCAGGTTGTTCCCCAACGTCAAGGAAGAGGTGACCCTGGGTCAATGTCTTTATGCTTGCTTGCACACGCGCTCGCGCCCGACAGTGCAGAGGAACGAGATTGCCCTGCGTATCATGAAGCGTCTGGTGCACCTTTTTACGCAGCAAGTGGAGCTTGCCCTGGAGGCGCCTTCCGCTCCTCTTCTTGAGAGCTGTCCCGACCCGACACGATGCACCTGCTATCACCCGCTCTCAAAAGCCTCCCGCCGGAAAGGCTCCACAGTCTTGAAAGAAAGACTGCTCAATCGCTTCGGGTCAAACGGCAGTGGCTTCTGTTCGACTCTGAACGAATTGACGTTACAGGATCTTGGAATGATAGCAACCACCTCCAAGATGGGGAGCCGGACAGCGTCTGAATTTCTCATCAGATTTCTGCATAAGAGCTCAGAGGCTATGTGCAGGGTTCAGCCGGCCACAAGTACAGGCACCAAGGTCATCAACTTCAACTTGGACTGCGCTCGCGTTTGCAAAAACGAGGCTGGTGTAACAGACAGAGATGTTTAAGAAGTTCACGTGCTTTTGTGTTGGTGACTTGCGTATGTTGTTTGCACAGGTGTTTGCGCTGCAGTTTCGCATCGGCCAACAGGAGACTTCTTTCGTGCAGGTTCTTCCTGACTCGCATAACAGCAAGCCAGGGCTGACAACGCTGAAGGCCCTGGACATGGCCATCAACTCTGGCTTGCCAGACCCCGGCCAGCAGCTACGATCCACATGCAAAGTCTTGAAGACATACAGACAAAGCACCAAAAACCTCCTACATGCAGTCAGAAACGGCATCGGACTTCTTGTTCCGGGATACAACTACAGCCACTCCTTGGCCCCCAATCGTCTGTCACATGGAACCATGCGTACTCGCTATGAGATGTCAAGAGATGAGAAAGCCGTTGCACAGTTGAACACCGACAAGAAGGCTTTCTTCTATCATGACTCTGGCTCATGTACTTCAGAAGTCGACTTGATTCAGCGTTCGGAATCTCGCGTGACTGAAACTCATTTTCGCAGGCGACGAGGGATCAGAAAATTTTCTCACGTGGCAACACATGGCCCACGAGGGCCTGCAGTGTCTCTGGTTTCCAGACACCTGCCATCGAGTTCATCGCAGACAGGCTGCCTGCTTCGTGATGAACCAAGAAGCAGGTGCCCTGATCAAGCAGATGTCGAAAATGTGGAGGGCCACACGTGGTCCTTGGGGTTCTTCCAAGTTTGGTCGTCAGAGATTAGAGTCGCGTGCGCGACTCATTCAGGCCTTAGAACAGAAGCCAGATTCTGAGTTGCTTTCCTGTGTCCTCAGCGGCATCGTGCGAGACGCCGGCCTCCCTCTCCATGAGATGACTCCCTGCGTGGCAATCGCTGAGCTCAAGAAGCATTCTGGCAACTGGGATTCAAAGTTTCCGTTGATAAACCAGAATTGAAAGCGAATTTGCTGCAGCTCAGGTTCTGTGCATTGGTCCGCTGATGCTCCCAAAGAAGGGCGTTGGTTTGCGTGGTTTGACGCAGCTTTGGCAACAGACCGTGTCCTGCACAGTATAGCCGATCTTCGGGAAGACGTCGCCTGTATGTTCTGTTTCCAAAGTTCCGTCGACCTGACAGAGTCAGCAGTACATCTGAGGCACTTGGCATTTGAGGCTCTTGGAGAGCTTGTTTGCCTACTGGGAGCTTGGTGAAAACCCATATGAAGCCATGCAGTGCAAGAGCGAAGACGAAACCGACTCGTACTCGATGAAGCTTTTGACTTTCCAGGCCTACACCCAGTACTGTAGCAGTCATTTGTGAGTAGCCGAGTTACATAGCAGTGGAGCGTGCGAGCATTGACAGGTCCTGGCAGACACCACCAACCAGGACCATATGAGGGCAATGCTAGTGATTTTCCGGGCTGCCCGTGCATGGACGGGACAAATGGCTACTCGGCCTCATGTGGAGCCTGTGCCCTGTTCCAGAGCATGTGCGAGTATTTTGCTTGCGCAACATCCGAGAACAAGCGTCTGCAAAACAATCGCGATGGATCCATATATGATGCTATCGGCTTGGCAACAGGCGCTCGCTTGAGGCGATTGTTCAAGTGCTTTGGCCTGCATGGTATTGTCTGTGTATGTCCTCATAGCTGTCGTGTGAGTTGCTGGAGTAGGACCGCTTTGACAGCAACCCGGTGAGTGAGGCAGACAACAGAAGCAGCATGCTCATGGAAGGAGCTCGAGTATGTCGGTGCTGCAGACCCGTACTCGGACGAGTCTGCCGCTGAAAACTTGGTTTTCCATTTCAATCTCCTGCTGCAGTGGTTGGGCAACCTCTACGAGTTGGATGACTATCACCGCTGTTTTCCATGGAAGTGTGTGCTTGCCACGGAACGAAGCCGGTGGCCAGCGTTGTTGAAAGAGATGTCTACTGAGTGGTCTTTCGTGCTCGCTGTGGACCAGTTGTCATCGGCAAGTCCGCTGCAGAAACTCTTGGATGTACGCAACATGCAGTGCTTCCGCGAAGCCTTCACAGAAGCGGAGCTCTTCGCCAGAGCTATATCGTGAAGAGGGGTTTGCTTTTGGGAGAGAGAAAACCAGAGAGCGAGCGATAGAGAAAGAGAGAGAGAGGGAGAGAGAGAGAGAGAGAGAGAGAGAGTGGGGAGAGAGGCAGAGAGAGAGGGGAGAGGGAGAGAGACAGAGAGGGAGACAGTTTTCTTTTCAAGAATGGGGCGGTGGGCAAATCACCAAAAGCAACCCCCCCCATTCTCGGCTCGAGAATGGGGGGGTTGCTTTAGGGGGTGGGAGGGAGGGGGGATCGGCAAACCACAACAAGCAAACCCCAGTTCTCGAGCCGAGAATAGGGGTTCATTGTGGGAGGAAAAGGATCGAGAGAGACAGAGCGAAAGACAGGGAAGGTTTTCTTTTGAGGGATGGGGGAATAGGTTAAATCACCAAAAGCAAACCCCCATTCTCGGCTCGAGAACCGGGTTTTGCTTTTGGGTTTGGGGCAATGGGTAATCACGAAAAAATGATCCCCAAAATAGGCTCCAGAATCGGCATTTCTTTTGCTTTCAGAAGAGAGAGAAAGTCTAAACTCAACTCACTGAAAGAGCTGTCCCGTAATTCCTGAGTGCACGATGTCCAGCAGAACCTTGCATGTATGTGGCAGACACACGTGTTATGCATGTTCTGGACTCTGTGTCGCAGTATTTGGAAAACCCACAATAACAGAAGCAACAAAACAACAGAAGCTGAACTGTAAAGCCCCATTGTCATGTGACCTAAATATGGTACAAACATGGATGCATGACAGTTTTTTTCTGTGAAGTGAGTGAGTCTGTTGGCAACAAAGGTCGATCAATTGAGACGTGAATTCTCCGCACAGTGAGACGGTGCGAAGAATTCTAGCCACAAGCGCTGGAGTGGATGACCTTGCATGTTGCATCCCAATGCTCAATTCTCTGCATTGCGAGTTGATCTTCAACGACCTTCGCGATTCACAACGCCGTCATCGCAAAGCGGAGGTGTCCAAAGCATCCAACATTGCCACAGTGGCTGTGCGCAGCGGATATCGGCGAAGTCCTCTCGAGTCCATTGAGCTGAAAAGTGCAGATTGGTCAACTGCAGAGTCTTTGACGGCTCTGAAAAGCAGCGTCTTGCAAAGTGCAAGAGAAAGGGATCAAAATTTGGGTCTGAATGTTTACCACTTGATCAATGATAAGTCATGTGGTTGGTTGACCAAACCACACGTCTACACTGAGCGCCTGAGATTGTATCGCAACTTGTTGGCTGAGCATCGTAAAGATCCAAGAGTCAACCTCGAGAAAGTGTATGACGAAAGCTGGCCATGCAGGCTGCTCTTGACGGGAGGGTTGCTCAAGTGCAGGCACACTGATGAAATGCAATTTGCATTGGTGGTGAAGTCATGTGCAAATGCTGTTCGCTTCGTTCAAGCAGTCAGGGTGGACCCTCCTTCAGACCTGCCAGACAGCACTGAAACGTACAAAATCATCGGCGATGGTCTGGTGCAAGAGACCATGCAGTTCTCTTTGGGCCACGGCCCAATTGGGATTACTGAGCCCACCGTTTGCAGGGACAGAGGTTTGCTGTTCACTGTGAAGAAATGGAAGACCGTCGCAGAGTACCTTTGCGAAGAGAGCATTGTGCACGTGCCAGCTGGATTCCTGGAAAAGTTTTGTACTGCTCAATCCATTGGTGGCAAACAGAAGTTGAAGCATCACGAAAGAGTGAAGCAAATCCTCCAGCATTTCAAGTACACTGACGAGTACATTGATGAAGTCCTGTCCCACATTCCCGTCAGAGAAAAAAAGCAAAAGCATCTGGACCCGAGCAGGCCCATTTGTGTGTTCCTTCTGAGACATGCGCAAAACTTTAAAACTGGATTGAAACCTTCATGTGTTCCTTGTTTGTTCCTGCGCGCACGTAGGACGAAGACAATCAGCATGAAGAAATGTGATGACGAGCAGGAGATTCTGGACTCCCTGAACTACAACGTTGACAACCCTGATGAAGACGAAGAAAAACAGAATCAAGAGGGTGATCATAAAGAGAAAGCCGCCGAAGCCAAAGGTGAACAGCCTGATGAAGCCATGATGCGTGAGGGACCTGATGCTGCGAGGGCCGCAGCCTCAAAGGTCTCTCGTAACATATTGTCGCATTGCAAGTTTTTCCTCGTTAACATATTGAATGCGTATTCTGTTGGCTGCATCAAGGAAAAAGAAGATGATGGATACGCCCCTGCGCATCATCGCGAGGTTTGTTTGTTCTCCTGAGTTTGAGAAGTACTCACATCAGTAGCTGTCCTTTTCAAGAAAACTGACCTCATCGGCCCTGCAGGAGAGAGCTCCCAATGCAGGTCCCAATGTCCGACAACCAGATCACGGGTTGGAGTTGCTGCGCCACGAGCTCCCGCCCGGCATCAAAGCAACAATTGGAAGACCGGCAGAAGCAGCCCCATTCATTCAGTTGCGCATCGTGAGTGGAGATAGGTTCCTAGGCAAGGGTAGCAGATCCTGGAGTTTCGTGCCGCATGGCGGAGCTCCGCTGCCTCGTGGCACATCGCGAAATTTTGATGAGGCTCTGCTGAGCGGCACCACTTGGGTATGGCGTTGGTTTAATTCCTTGGGTGACGACAGGAAGCAAGAAATACGTGCCAAGCACCCAAGCTCTGCACCTCCGTGTGAGGGTGGAGATGCCCCTGATCAGGCCGAGCTGCCACGTGCCACAAGGGCACGCCACTAGTCGGCAATGCAACACTTATGTCCATTAGCTTCAAGTGCATGAGAGTGGTTCGCATGCTTGTTTAAACTTCCCTGCTTGGAAAACCTACTCAACAGCTCGGCACGTTTCACACGTGCATCTAAGCAAAGGCGAGCGCAGCCGGAAAATCAAACAGGTAGCTTGCTGCTATTGAAGTGTGCTGTGCAGTCCCAAGTTTGCCGGATGAGATACCAAATCTAACATCGTGGGCTAAATAGTGTAGAAACCCGGTTAGCTATGAAACGTGAGGCGTGTCCCATTAGAATTAGGGGTTAGGGGTTTAGGAATTAGGGGTTTAGGGTTTAGGGGATTAGGGGTCAGGGGTTCAGGAATTAGGGGTTCAGGGTTTAGGGGTTTAGGGTTTAGGGTGTAGGGATTAGGGGCTAGGGGTTTGGGAATTAATTAGAGGTTTAGGGTTTAGGGTTTAGGGGTTTAGGGTTTAGGGTTTAGGGGTTTAGGGGTTTAGGGTTTAGGGTTCAGGGGTTTAGGGTTGAGGGTTTAGCGGCTTAGAGTTTACGAATTAGGGGTTTAGGGGTTCAGGGTTTAGGGTTTAGGGGTTTAGGGTTTAGGGTGCTATTAGGGCGTTCAGAAGGGCCCTATAGCGGCAATGCAGGGTTAAAATGGGTTTACAGCGTGTTAGAGGGTGATAGGCTTGGAAATTATGAGTGATAGGGACCCTTAGGGGGTAAGGGGAGGTTGGTAGGGGGCCTTAATACCTATAACAAGGACTTAATGTGAAAGTACAGTCCCCGACACCCCTCTGGTGTATGGTTTGGGGTTAGCGCTTTTTCTGATGTTTCGATCCTTCATTATCCGGCTCGCCCCCTATGCCGCTCAAACAGGGTATGCTATGGTTTAGTAGTTGATGTTTACAGTAGCAGTCCACAGACTCTACTAAAGTTGTTTGGGTTAACCCAAGCCTTTTAAACAGGAAAGTTCAGGGTCTTTTGGCCCATGAACTCCACCCTAAACCCCTAAAAAAAACCAATCTTTTTCAACCCTGAACCCTGAACCCTTTCGGCCCATGAACTCCACTGCAGATGGGGTCTCGAACCTCTAGCCCCAAACCGAAAACCAAAATCCGTGGTTAGGGCCATATACAGCTCTTAGACGGCCCGTGCAGATCCACTTGGAGGCCCTTTGAAACCCTTTTCGACATCTAGCAACTTGGAACCCTTCGCAGACCCTGAACACCTGATGCCGCAAAACTCAACACTGAATCCTATACAGCCGTAAAGCCCCAAACCCTAAACACAAACCCCAAACCCGACAAGTCCCAAACCCAAAGCCCTTCCGAAACTGGATATAGCACCATAGCCGCTAAACCCTAAACCCTATACCCTAAACCCAGCATATGGTGTCCAAGCAGTTTTGCTGCTGGGTTTGTCATGCGGGTATGGCAAGAGAATCCAGCCAAATCACCAGAAGTGCAGCAGAAATTGGCGCGACTTAAGAGATCGTTCTCGAGTTCTGGTTTTGACTTTGAGGGCAAGGTGCAATCAATGAACCATGAGCTTTTAACCTTGAGGGCAAGGTGCAATCAATGAACCATGAGCTTTTTGGTCTTGACGTGACAATTCGTGTATTGTCGGCCCCACTCCACTGACAGGCTCTGCAGGATTGCGTTCAAAAATTGCAACAAGGATATGGGACATGATGCAGCTTTACCGGCGTCAGAGCTTGAGGTGTCAAAAGCTGTCCGAAGTGGATTTGTGGCAGTTGATCTGTTCCAGACCTTCAGCGAAGCAAGGAAGAACCCAGACAAGGAACTTTCGCCCGTTCTTGTCAATGGGTCGTCATTGGTGCGACTGGAACAATGCAACCTCATAACAGTGCCGTTACCTGGATTCTCAGACTCAGTTGGTTTGCGTGAGTTTTCAAGAGCTCATGAGGAGCTTGAGCACATCGTGATTATACCTGATGACTTGGATGGCGCTTCAAAAAGACCAATGCACGTCGATCCGCTTATCAGATCCACTGTTTCATGTGCCATGTTGAGTACCGGATAGGCATACATTTTCACTGAAGGGGATCCGTGCTTCTCGCGAATAACAGTTGATCCCAGAAAGCCTGTAACGGCTATGGTTGGCGGCGGCAAGTTGGAGGACATGCACGTTTTCTACAACACGGACCGTGGTGGAGAGTGGATTGATGGTTCACTCACGAACCTTAAACGCTAAACCCTAAATCACCAAAAAATGCCCTAAACGGGCCCCGGTCGGTGTCCGACAACCTCGGAGGCATCGTCTCCGATCAGCAGTTGCGACAGTACTGCATCAAGGTGCCGGGATTAGGGTCTAGGGTTTAGGGGTTTAGGGGTTTAGGGTTCAGGGTTAAGGGTTTAGGATTAAGGGGTTTAGGGCTTTAGGGGTTTGGGGGTTTAGGGTTTGGAGTTGCGACACTACTGTGTCAAGGTGCCGGCTGCCTTTAAGGTCTTAGACTGGACTTTGTCACGAAATCCGTAGGGTTTTCAGGCTTACTTACTGGGTCTTCAGGGTTTTTGGAGTTTAGAGTAGATTAGATCCCCAATGCCGAACTTTTAAGCTTTTAGGGTTCTTATCGTTTAGCAGGAACCGAAAAGTTCAACCTTTCATTTCTGTGTCCTGTTGGGGTAATAAGCTGTTGGGTCTTAGAGTGCCCTAAACCCTAACCCTTGAACCATAAACCAATAGAGTGTTCTGTCTTCCAAGATCCTATTGGGATGCAGGGTTAAGGATTTAGGGTCCTTTTTAAGGGTGTTTATACTGGGTTTTTTCGGGTTGAATAAAAGGTCCAAACCGCTTCCTAAAACGGGCTTTGCGAGGAATTTAAATAGGAGTTTTCGAATTCTGGGCTCTGGTTCCTCGGTCTTTTGCAGTGGTCCTACGCATTAGGATTCAGGATTGCAGGTTTGTTTTTTTTATGGATTCTATATACAGGGTTAAATATGATGTGCTCCAAGCCTTTTCTCGATCGGCAAGGCCCGTACGTTTTCTGGTCTTGATATGGGATGGGGGCGGGCTTCTCAAAATTAGGGGTGCTCGGTTCAGGGTTCCATTTATGAGAAGCCCATTGTTCAGGGCGTCTCTTAGGGCTCCTTATTTCTGAAACTCCCATACGTCTTGGGTACGCTGATGCCTGCTTTGGTTTCCGACGTTTCAACAGAGCAGCAACTGGAACCTTAAACCCTAAACCCTGCACCCTGAACCCTAGAACCCTAAACCTTAAACCCTAAACCCCTAGAGCCCTAAACCCTAAACCCTGACCCCGAAACCTTAAAATTCACAAACACCCCGAACCCGGGCCCTAAACCCTACCACCCTAAATCCATGAGTCCCTAAACTCTGAACCCTAGACCCTGAAAAGCCTTGCTATTAGCGGCTTAAATAATTACCTATATTGTTTTTGGTGGTTCCGTATGATTATGATTATAGTATAATAGGCTCCAAAACCCTATTCTATTTATGAAGGCCCCTATATCATAGAACCCTACTAAAGATGCCGTATAGTAGCTCCTATAGACCCCTGTAAAGGAACCCTATTCTAATTCTTGAGGCCCCTACAGTATTAGCGCCTTGACACCCAACAACGGGCTGCCCAGATTGCTCTTGCAGGCGCCCTTGGTCCCTTGCACAGCCGCTTCCCTTCTCGTCTTCGCCCCAGTCACTAAATCTATAGGTTTTTGTGCCTTAATTATTGGGTCTTCAGGTTTTTGGAGTTTAGAGTAGGTTTTCGGACTTTGGGGCTTATAGGGCTTCAGGCTTACACGGGATCGAGGCAGGGGGTCCGTAGGTACAGTTCTAACAGCTTTTTTCTGATGAATGTAGGGTCGGAGTAACTCGTACTGCTATTCCCATCATAGTCCTTCAAAAATCAACTGTGGTACAATATATCCTCAACCCCTTTCCAAAATTACAGGCCCTATATTGTCGGCACTGGGTTCCCTGGCGATTCCGCGAAGCAAAGGCACAGACACACAATCGCACAGATAATATACATATATATATATACATATATGTATATGTATACATATATATACATATACATATTTATTTTTATTTGTTAGCTTGTTTTTTTTGTTTGTTTTTGGTTTTTCTATGTATTCATGCCTTTGCTTGTTCGTTAGTTTGTGTGTGTGTGTGTGTGGTGTTGTGTTTGTGTCTGTGGGTTTGTTTGTTGGCGTGTTTGTATGCTTGTTTATTTGTTGAGTTGTTTGTTTGTTTGTTTATGGGTCCACACATCTACCTACATACATATATACATATATACATATACACATATATATATACATATATATACACATATGTATACATATATACACATATACATATATACATATATACATATATACATATATACATATATACATACATATATACATATATACATATATACATATATACATATATACATATATATTCTTATATATACACACTCATATATATATATATATATATATATATATACATATGTATACATATACATATGTATACATATACATATGTATACATATACATATATACATATATACATATATACATATATACATATATACATATATACATATATATATATATATACATATATATATATATACATACACATATATACATATATTTATACATATATTTATACATATATATATACATACATAGTATATATATATATATATATATATATATATATACATATATATATATTTATATATATATATATATATATATATATAATATATATACATATATATATATATATATAGATATATAGATATATATATATATATGTATATATATATAGATACATAAATATATATATATATATATATATATATATATATTTATATATATATATACATTTATATATACATATACATATATATATATATATACATATGAGCCCGATACCTTTAGGGTCTATTTAGCTAGCTTTTTTATTTACAATATCAAACGCTTAGCTAAATGATATCTAGCCATATCGTGTATTCTACAAACCAAAACCCGGAA